CGGCGAGGGTGACGAAGGTGAAGGTGCCGGCAGCCATAGCCGAGGTGAAAGGTGACCGGGCGTTGACCAGAGGGTTGACCAAGGGTTGACCAGAGGGTTGACAACGTTGATAGGGTGTTGACCAAGCGTTGACTGAGGGTTGTTCACGTTGACTCAGCGTTGACCAAGGCGTTGACCGGAGCTGCTGACCGAGATTTTGACCAAGCTGGAGTTGGTGATATCTCGTTGAGCCCTCAGCCTATCCCCTTACCCTGTGGATGAGCACACACCCTACGGTACTTGCTGAGTTGAGTCAGTCTGTCTTTCCTTTCTGCATTGAGTCTCTTCTGTCCTAGGTGTTAGGACTCTGTGGATGAAGGATAGGGCCTTGCTGCCAAACCTGCACGGGACTTAGTAGGACTAATCTCTACTCTGGCATCTGGAGACCTGGGCATGAGCAGCGAGCGCTCGTTAAACAACTTGTCTAGCCCAATGACCGGTACTGTCCGGCAGGTCTACTCAGTTTCAGTGTAGAGGGTCCAAACTCTGAGCTGCGGGCTGAAACGAAGGTCGTCTTTAAGTGTTGAGGCCTGGTTGAACCACTCCCCTACCGGACCTAGTAAGGCTGATGATCTGTGTCTGACGACTCGACTGTCCCGAGGGATACGAACCCCTCCAAGGACCGGTACAGACCAGCGGGCTGCTCGGTGTGGCACAGTAGGCCGGAACGGCTGAGTTGTGGGCTGAAATCGCCAGGAAGAACCACGTTGATCACGTCGTCCTGACTGCGACGTTAAAGAATTCTTGCGGAGTTTGGGGGATCTCCTTAAATGCCTCCTGATCAGCTGTTGGTTCAATAGTGACAACCTTAGGGTAGTGGTCTTAGAGAGTCAGTCAGTGGGTTAGTGTCCGGGTAGGTCTAAGTGGTGAGGAGTGGGACTTTTGCCGTGCACCTGACACCACGATGGATGACTATCCGATGTATGGGTTGCTTGTAGGGTTCTCTCTCTGGGAGACCCTCTGGCGCCTCCTCTTTCCTCTGGGGTTCTGGCATACCTTTACGTGTAGAGTAGATACCCGGGGTGGAGCCTCCACCAAGCCGTACACGAAGGAGGAGGAGAAGATGGCCGCCGTCCTGAGGGAAAGAAAGGAGAAGAAAGAGGCCAAGAAGAAGGCCCTACAGGAGGAGCAGGCGGCCAAGTTAAAAAAGATAGAAGAAGAGATGGCCAGAGAGAAGGAGAGGTTAAAGAAGGAAGAAGAGGAGAAGTTGAAAGAGGTGGACGAGGAA